CTTGTACTCATTTTGTTAGTAGCTCTGTACTAGTGACTTCCAGGTTCTGGGAGGGATCTTTATTTGTATATATGTTTTGGTTTGCTTCTGCCTGTCTATATTGTTATTTGCCTACTCTTGTTTAGTTTCTACCCTCAGACCCATTACTTGTTGTTTCGGGTTACGGGTTGGCTTACCTGCTGGTGGGTTATAGTAGGTGCCATCATGACTTGAGAAATCGGGTCGTGACATTTATCAATCAAAATCTCAAGTTTTGATGTTAAAATCCACAAATAATCAAAGAGAATGAAGTTTTAGAGTTACAAAGACTTACGCAATTGATTCACCACGAAAAATCTCTCACCTCTAAGGGTTTTACAAACTCAAAAATGGGGGGAAATAGGGCAAAACCCCAATATATCAGGCCAAAAAGGGCCTCAAGTGTCGCTTAAGAGAACCCCGCAAAAATTGGGGGTCTCGCTTTCGTGAACTAGGGTTCGCTTTTTTTACCCTCGCGATCGCGACCCATGGTTCTCTTAAGAGAACCCCGCCAACAAGGGACCCTTCGCTTTTGCGATCAGGGTCTCGCTAATATGAACCTCGTGATCATGGGGTACCCTTTGCGAAAGCGAGGCATACTAGCATTAGAAATATTAGCCAACTCTCAAAACATCAAATGAACCCTCGGGATTCGTTCAGAACCTCGAACACACAAATCATATATTCTAATTGACTATAGTCGACATTTTGAACACAATGGAATCATCGAAACACAAATATGAGGTTTCCTTGATCTGAGTCCCGCCTAAGAAGGCCAAATCAAGCTCAGAACTTCTAAAAATTCAACCAGGACCTCATCTAGGCCAGAAATCATCCCCCGAATCTAATAGAACTCTCAGAAATTTGATCCGAGCATCCAAATCCTGAATGTTGACCAAAGTCAACCCGAAGTCTAAAATCTCAATAATTTCCAACTTAGGATCTCAAATCCTCAAAAAAAAACTCCGAATCTGAAACCAACAACTTTCATAGACCAAATTCCACCTTTTGGAGCTAATGAAATCGGAGAAATTCTATTCTGACACTCGAAACTCTAATAGACACCGAAAACCACTTTTTAACAACTTAAGTCTTTCAAAATAAAAACTTCCATAATTCATAACTTTTACCTCAAAACTCGAAACTAATTTCAAAACTCATTAAAAATTACTCGGGGACAGTATCGAGAGGGGTAAAATGATAATTTTACGAAGAATACTAAAAATGACCTACCGGATCATTACATCTTGATTATCTTAAGCTATACAACAACTTTGATCAGATACCGAAAGGGGCAAATAGTTTTTATTTTTTTGGATAAAATGCAAATGTCTAACATGAGGATTAGATATGATAAGTCCATCTTTTTTGTTAGCTATATTTATAGAATATAGAACTTTGAGAACGCTTAGCAAGTGAAACTTAGGGTGTGTTTGGTAATGGAAAATGTTTTCTTGGAAAACAAGTGGATTTTTAACTTATTTTCTCATGTTTGGTTGGTGAGTAGAAAATATTTTTTAATGTTTGGTTGGTAAATGAAAAATATTTTCAGAAAATATCTTTTATTTTGGACTTGAAACTAGAGAATACTCTTTAGAAAAATAATTTCTGACCCGGTGGCGAAAAAAATGAAAATTTTAAAATTTGAATTATTTTTCAAAAATTAATTTTTTTTAAAAACAAAATTGTCGGTGGTGGTGGTTTGGGGATGGCTGGGGTAGGGATAGTGGCGGAGCCAGGATTTTCGTGGAGGGGGTTCAACTTATAAGAAGTAAATAAAAAAATGGAGCAAAACGGATCGGGAAAGAAAAAAAATTATCCTTAATCCATTAAATATAATTTGCCTTGTCATGCCGCATTTAGCGTTTCTTCCTACTTTTACCGTGCTTCATTGATTCTTTTTTTTTTAAAAAAGTGATTTTTTCTTTAATTTTTTATTATTTTACTTTATTTTGAATTTTTAAAATAAATTAAATTAGTATTCATTCAATCATATGTTACTTTAAAAATTGTTTAATACTCTTTAAAATGTGTGGGGATTGAGTTACTAATATTATAATGCATATTAAAAGGATAAATAAATGGCATCGCCTAATTTTTTGTTCATTTATTCAATTTATAAGGTTTTCCATCGGTAAAAAAATGAATAAATCATATAAATGTAGTTTACGTCTCTCTAGAATAGAACTGAAAAAATGAGAAAGAAATATGATGAATAATCATGCCTTTCAAATTTATTCGTTCGATTAAGTTTAACTTATCTTTAAAGTTTTTTTTCTCTATCTCAATTTCAAGTTTAAGAATAATTGACAGTTTTTAAAAAAGTTCCTTTGAATTAGTATATAAAAAGAGAGTTACGTAAAAATAAAATGAGCAATAGAGATAAAAATAATAAATTACAAAAATAAAAATAATGTGCCTTAGAAATACGAACAAAAAAATATTGAAAAGGAGAAATAACATTAAAAAAATGAAAAAAAACAAACAATAAGGCTCCAATCCAAAAATGTTGTGCCCATCTCAGCCTTGCTATTTGATTTTCCAAATGAAGAAAACAAGAAAAAATTAAGGAAAGTGTTGTTGCGCATAATCAAACCCATGACGTCCAAGCGAATTATTGAACCCCCTTTACCGCTGAGCTAGCCTCTTTACATGTGTTTAGGGGGTTCATTTTAATATATACACACATAAAAGCAAAATTTGACCTTATATATACTGTGTAATTTTTCGACGAGGGGGTTCGGGTGAACCCCCTATCCTCCATGTAGATTCGCCCCTGGGTAGGGGTAGGAGTAACTTAAAAATAAGATTTTTTAAAATTTGAACTACTTTTCAAAAATAACTTTTTTAATTATTTTTTTGACAGGGGAGGGGGGTGGCGGCTGGG